ATGGGCTCTGGGGTGTAAATGGGCCCTGCCCCAGGGAGCTGCCAGTCAGGGTAGGGGAAGGGGACCATCATCCTTCATTATGGGGTCCTGAGGCCCTTTCAAATGAGGCAGCTCTGCAGACCTCTGCCTGGTTGGCATCCCCTTTCTTGAGAGGCCTCTCATGGGCTCCACCACTCCCCCACCCTGCCTCTCACCCCCATCTCCTGGGAACTATGAACAAGGATATTGGACATCTCCTTTTCCCACTGTCCAGGGAGTGAGGGTGGACAGGGGGCCTCTCCTGAGCCAGGCAGGGGTCCTTGCTGTTTCCACAGTTCCAGAAGGAGGCACTGGCAGAGTACGAGGCCAGGATGAAGGGTCTGGAGGCAGAGGCGAAGGAGTCAGTGAGGTCCTGCCTCAGGACCCGCTTCCCCTCGGAGGCCAAAGACAAGTCTGAGACGGCCCGCGAGTCCCCCAGAGAACTGTGTGAGCAGGACCCACTTGTAGCAAAGGCAGATGCCCAAGAGAGCCGCCTCTGATGCCCCCATCCCACTGGACATTCAGCAAGGATGTTCAGCCCCTTCTCTGGGATGTGGCTCTATCCCCTCCCCCCCAGGAGAAAGGAGCCCCAGCCTTCTGAGGCTGTGGGAACCTGCGGCTGCCTGCCTTGGATGCTACAGCCCCCTCCTCAACAGCCAGGCCCGAGGCGGAGACAGGACCCAGGCACCCTCAGGGCAGGACCTCTCTGGGGCCTAGAGGTCTTCTCAAGCTGACTTCCTACCCCCCATCTCTAGATAAGTGTCATATATTTGTTGAGGGCAAAAGACTATGGACTGGGAGGCAGAAAGTGGGATCCTGGCCCCACTCTGCCTTTCCTAGTGAGCACCCAGCCGTACCCTACTCTAGGCTCAGTTTCCTCACCTGTAGGGTTGCACCCACCCACCTGCAACCTCCGCTCTAGCCCCAAACCCTCCTGCCCCAATGTCAGCAGCTCTGCCGGGCTTCCAGGCCCCATCAGGCCTGGCCTGAGTTGGCCTTGTCAGCTCCTTGAGGCAGAGCCTGGCACTACCTCACAGCTCCCTGGGGACGGCCACTCCCAGCATCCCTGGCTGACGGCCCTCCCCTCCCCTCTGGGATAGAAGGCTCAAATGGAAAAGCTGCCTCCACGTTGCTCGGCTGAGTCACTAGGGGCAGTGGCCTCTTGGGTGCTCTCCCACCCTGAACCTGGCTCACCCTTCTTCCTAGGCCTGGGGGCTGGCAGGTCCTAGCAGGCACCCCTCCCAGGCTCAGAGAAGGTCAGCATCATTTGCTTTCCTGAATTTATGAGGTTTATTTATTTTTCCTCCTTCCTACTCCTATTAAAGAACATCGTCCCAGTGTTGGTGCTTAACCCTGGTCTCTACTCTATAGGTAGGAAATGGGGGGCAGGGGAGTGGAGTGCCCCTGAAATGAAGTGTGCTGGGGAAAAAAATATCTTGGGAGCTGAACCCAGGGTGAGGTCCCTTCCAGAGCCCAGTGAAATGGCCCTGCTTCTGGGCTTGAAGAAAACTCACTTCCCTTTCTGCTGGCCCTGATGCCACAACCACTGGAAAATTATGTCACCCCCCTCTTTGCCCCCACACAGATGTGGCCCTTCACTGTCTCCACTGTCTCAGGGCTGGAGTGGAAGAGCTGAGTGCAAAGATGTCCCCTATTTTGGGGGGGAAAGCCAGACTTTTAGGCCACCTACGCCACTTTAGGAAGACAGAATGTCTGGATAATCAGGCCCCTGTGGCAGCTATGGTTGGCCTCAAAACTTGCTTTAGAGGGGCTTGTGGGTAGCCACTCACGGTACCGATGGCATGATCCCAAATCCCAAACAGGGACAGGCACTGGCTTAGGAGAGCCAGAGGAGAGTTGATTCCAGGAAGAGGTTGTTTTCTTATTAGAGAGTTACAGCAGATGCCATTAACTGGGAATACCTGTTTCTTTGGAAAGTAAATAGGTCCACCTGCCCCCACCCTGCCATTGCGTCTCTCTGGGATTCTGACCTCTGGGATTCTACTAAGCCCTGGCTGTAGGGTGAGGCTAGGGGGCCTGATCATTTACTGGACTATGGCCTGGCATTGATCAACCTGCTCCCTACATCACTACAGACTGGACACACCGGGGCAGAACACCTACACCCCAGGGCAGTGCCCCGTCTTCAACCCTTCTGCTGGGCACGGGACTGTAAAGGTGAAGATTCAGGCCTAGAGGAACTCACTGACCCAGGCACCTGCACATAAGCCATGGCCAGAGCCCAATGGAGCCCACTGGGCAGCCCCCAGCTTTTGCTGATGACTGTTTAGGAGAAGGAAAAGCTGCCTTCCCCTCGCCCCTGGGCTGGGCCACGCAGTCTCTGGGCTCCCCATCTGGAGCTGCGTAGCCCAGGAATGGGGAAGGCAATGCAATCCTGCCCCTGGAGAGGTTTCTGCACAGCAGACTGGGGCCTTCCCATGTGGCCAGGCCTGGATACCCACACCCCTGCTTTCCTCCCAAAAAGGCAAGGTGTCCCTCGGGCAAATATCATCTCTGGGCCCTGGAGATGAATTAGTCTCTGGCTGCAGGGGATGTACAGAGGAAGAGTTGACGTCCTCCCTTTGGGCACTGCAGCAGGTGAAGAACACCTGAGTTCCACCCCTGCTGTGAATGTATGGGACAGGGGCAAGGTTCCCTTTCCACCTGTCATGCCTCAGTTTCACCTTTTGCACAAAGAGAAGGGTCCTTACCCCTTTCCCAGTCCCTTTGCTGACTCAGACTCCAGTCCCCTGCTGATTCACCCGCCCCCTGCATCCCCTGAGCAGCCCTCTGGATCTCCCAGACACGTGCCACCAGGCCCAACCCTGCCGAGCTGGTGCAACGTGACATGGTGAGGGGGCTGGTGACACTGGAGGAAAGAAGGGGCCCGGGAGGGAGGCAGCTGCAGACAGAGTGACAGACCACAATGAGGCATCTCAGGGAGGGAACACTTTTGCCAGCCTGGGGCCTGCTGGGGGACAGGCCCAGGAGGTGGAACGGGAGGGGAGGGGAGCAGGATGAGCCTATCTGCCCCCTGCTGCCTGGGCTCCATCTCCTGTCAGCCTTCAGCTCTCTAAGCGACAGCTTCTAATTCCGGCTGTTGGTGCCTCTGTGCTCTGCAGCAAAGTCTCAGCTTTTTTTCAGCTTTGCCGTTTCTTTTCTGTTCAGAACATACTGAGCCCACAGGGAAGTCAGAGCAAAGGCTCCAGGGCCCAACACTTGGCACCACCCCACTTCCTGCCATGGGAACCAACTGCTCCTTCTAAAGGGTACCCAGCACAGCACTTTCTGACCCAAGTCTTCCTCCCTGGAACTGTCTCAGTCCACCATGGGGGAACAGGGACAGAAATGAAGCTGAGTTGTCTCAGGGAGGAGGGGCTCTTCAGGACCAAGAAAGTGCCCATTCTGGGTTTCTGCTGCTTCTCTCCTCCCTTTGGGGGGTGCAAAGCTTGGCTTGTCACACACAGTTTCCAGATGTCCTCCCTACCCTGACCTTGGAAATAGAAGGGGAGAAAGCAATTTTCCTCACACTGCTGAAAAGAGAAATTGAGTCATAAAGGGAAGAAAAGCCTTCTGCTGAGTAAAGAGGGAGAGCATTCCTGTCCAATTACCGGGGGTGGACAATCTCTGCCCATTCCTGGGGCCACCCCAGAAGGGGGCCCTAGCTCTGGGGGCGGGAGCAGCTTTGAGGACTGCACTCGAAATAACTGTGCAGCTCTAGAACAAAACAAAAGAAAACAAAACAAAAAAATGAAATAACTGTGCAACTCTTTCCCTGACACTCTGACTTGATCCTGTGTGAAGCAGGCAGGGCTGGTATTTAGCAGTCTCATTTTGCAGATGAGAATATGCAGGCTGGGGGCCACACTGCTAGAACGCCTTCAAGACGGGACTTAACTCTGAGGTCTGATCTGTGGCCTATGACACCAGGGAAGAAAACTGGCAGAGCCCTGACCAAGGGCTTTGCGGTGGGTGCAGTTACACATCACATGTTCCTCACATGACAGAGGGGAGTGGGAGCCTCTGCTCCAGGTCCTGGGCGCCAAATTCAAGGTAGACATCCCTGGAGCCTGGGAACTGGAGAGAGGCAAGGGGCTCAGGGTGCAGGGCCATGAGCCCACTTTACCACGCCCATCTGTGCCCAGTACTTTTTCCCAGGCATCTCCTACTGCAAAGCATCTGCCCAGGCCGAGAACACCATTACTCTTCCTTTATTTTCTATCTCTGATAGGAAGGGACCCCTTATAGGAGCCCTCAACAGCATCCCCTGAAGGTTTATCCTGCTTCCAAGCCTTTGCCTCCAGAACCCGTCTGAAATTCCTTCCTTCTTTCTTCAGCAGCCAGACCCCGCACATCCTTGAAGTCCCATCTTTAAAAGGCTCCTGAGCCCTCTTCTCCCCACAACTCCATCTTTTCATCAAAGGACTGTGTTGGTCTGAATTTAGCAGATGTATTCACCCCTCAGGTGACAGCCTCCACTTTTTATGTCCCAGTGTTGTTGTCTTAGGAGGGGGAGTGTCTTCTATCTAGAATCGAGTTTATGCCTCTCTCTTTCCTGCTGCCGGCAACAAAAGGCTCATGAAAAGTCTCAGTAAATTCTGCAGCTGATACCTGCTTCACTCCTTACTTTACAAATATCCATTCCAACCCTACTCACTCCCTCCCCACCACCCACACCCAGGCCTGTGTATCATCTCCCCCTCCTCCAGGAGCGAGTGGGGCCTGCTGGCAGGAGGGAGAGGAGATGCGGTGGTTCCTCCGCATCTTATGGAAAATGGAACTCGAGCTCGCCTCCTCTCCTTAGGGGTCTGCCAGTGGTCAGGGCCAGAACCCTGTGGCCTGGGGGTGGCTTTGTGCTCAAGGGAGAAGCAAGGGGCAGGGAGCTTGCGTGGATCCCTAGGTCTTTCCAGGGTGGCAGGGCCAGGGAACTCCTAACATGCCCGCGGCATTCCCGGGTCCTAAGGTGCCCCTTTCTGGTCTCGGTGTCTGCACTCTGCCCGCTCAGCAGCCGCCGGGAGCTGGCAAGCGGGCGCGTTGTTGGGGTTGGAGACGTCTGAGACTGGAGGGCGCACTCAGCCCCCACCCCTCGCTCCGAGGGAACGTGTGGGGAGGAACAATTGTGCGTGAGTGCGTGATTCGCTGCACTTCGAGTGGCAGTTACCAGCCAGGCTGAGCGCCCCCAACCCGCGGCACGTATACCCCCTCCCCCAAATTACTCCTCAACCGCCTTTTGCTGCCACCCCTAGCTCGCACGTGGTCCTGTTCTGCGCTCATGCGGTCCCACTTCCTTTCACCCTGGACCGCTGTGGGCAGCTCTCAGTCTTCTCCGACGAGCCCGAGGTCCCGCCAGTTTCTAAGTAGCAGAGGGCAACGACTCGGATGGGGGCGGAGGGCGGGGAGAGAAGACTGCGACTTTGGGATTGGATTGGCCGGGTCGGGTGCATGTGGCCCCCTGCGAGCAGCCCCCGCCCCCGCCCCGCAACCGCCGCCGCATTCCCAGGGGAGCGCGGAGGAGGAGCCGCTCCCCGACTTCGTGGCCCACGAAGGTGTGGGGGTCAGGGGTGGTCTCCCCCGCCCCGTCCGTCTCTGCCCTGACGGTGCAGCCCGCTTCCAGGGCAGCCATTGCCATGGAGACCCCTGAGACTATAAAGCCAGGTATCTAGGCGGGCGGCGGCTCCCTCGCCGCTGAGCCCCCCAAGGAAGGAGCAAGCGCCCCGGCGTGGCCCGGCCCCCGCGAGAGGGGAGGAGGCGGAGGAACGGCGCCAGCAACTTGAGAAGCGGCGCGCCCCTCCAGGGCTGGAGGCAGGCGTGCACCGCGGGCGCCACCGTTGCTGCGGGGGAGCGGGGGCTGCCCTGGGTGCGGGTGAGTGGCTCGGCTCCAAACCACGAGGGCTGAGGGGCGCCGGACACGGGGAAAGCGGCGGGAGACTCGGGAGAGGGTCGAGCCTCGGCTCCCGACGTCCGGTGGCGGGCCAGGAGTGGAGCCCGGAGTAGCGAGCAATCAACACCTCCAGGCGGCAGCCCCGGGGAAGCAGCAGCGAGACGCCAGGCGTGCGGCCCAGGAGCGGCGGGGCCGCCGGAACCTCCGGGCGACCGGAGTAGGAACCTCGGGACCCTCGGCTGCAGCCGCCCACGCGCGGAGGGAGAGGTACAGGAGCGCGGGCGGAGGCCGGAGCCCCACGGGGCGCGAGAACAGGGGCGCCCCCGTGCGGAGCTGCCAGGCTGCCCGGGCGCGGCGGCCGGGGCCATGCTCAAGCCCAAGGACCTGTGCCCCCGAGCGGGGACGCGCACCTTCCTGGAGGCCATGCAAGCGGGCAAAGTGCACTTGGCCCGCTTCGTGTTGGATGCGCTGGACCGCAGCATCATCGACTGCCGCGCGGAGCAGGGCCGCACGCCGCTCATGGTGGCCGTGGGGCTGCCGGACCCCGCGCTGCGCGCGCGCTTCGTGCGGCTGCTGCTCGAGCAGGGTGCGGCAGTGAACCTGCGGGACGAGCGTGGCCGTACCGCACTCAGCCTGGCGTGCGAGCGAGGCCACCTGGACGCCGTGCAGCTGCTGGTTCAGTTCAGCGGTGACCCCGAGGCAGCCGACTCGGCGGGCAACAGCCCCGTGATGTGGGCGGCGGCCTGCGGCCACGGGGCGGTGCTCGAGTTCCTGGTACGCTCCTTCCGCCGCCTGGGCCTGCGCCTCGACCGCACCAACCGTGCGGGGCTCACCGCGCTGCAGCTAGCTGCCTCCCGCGGCCACGGGACCTGTGTGCAGGCCCTCACGGGGCCCTGGGGCCGCGCCGCCGCCGCCGCCGCGGCCCGGGGCTCCAACTCCGACAGTCCCCCTGGCCGCCCGGCCCCTGCGCCCAGCCCCGAGCGTCGACGACCCAGCCCCCGCCGCCTACCGCGGCCTCTACTGGCGCGCTTTGCGCGAGCGGCGGGTGGCCACGGGCACGGCGGCGAGGCTGGCTCAGCGGGCAAGAATTCCGGCCGACACCGGGCGCAGGGCAGTGAACGACCTGAGCTGGGTCGGAGCATGAGCCTGGCGCTGGGTGCGGTGACCGAGGAAGAGGCGGCCCGCCTGCGGGCTGGGGCCCTGATGGCCCGACCAAACTCGCCCCAGTCTTCGGGGACTGGGCGGTGGCGCTCACAGGAGGTGCTGGAGGGAGTGCCCCCAACCTTAGTGCAAGCCCCCATTGGTCTCAGCCCCCACCCGGAGGGCGGCCCCGGCTCTGGCCGCCTGGGTTTGCGCCGACGCTCTACAGCCCCAGATATCCCCAGCCTGGTCGGGGAGGCTCCAGGGCCCGAGAGCGGCTCAGAGGTAGAGGCCAACGCTCTGCCTGTCTCGGTGCCTGGACCGAATCCATGGCAGGCGGGCACCGAGGCTGTGGCGCTGCACGCTCAGCGGTAAGCCGCTCCGAGCACCAGGCCTGCTCCTCTCACCCTCCCGTCTGTACTCCACTGGTATTTCTCCACTCTATGTCCTTCACCTTTTCGGCAGCCGCCCCACTTCCCTGCAGCCCATTTTGGAACCTGGTCTCCCTGCCAAGGCGAGACCTTCACCAGCCCTCCACCGGAAATAAGGGACCTCCATCTTCTTTTTTGTGCTCCTCGGTATTCCCTGCCTGGGTCTAGAGGTTTTGATGACTGGTTCCATAGCCTACCAGCCAGGAAGGTGGATACCCTTCCCCAGCCCTCAGCCACCTGCTGCTCCTTTCCCCCCACCCTCCCCTCGCTGGGTTTCCCAACATCCTGCCAGCGGCCAGCGAGGCAAATAGACGGGTCCAACTTGAAGAATAAAGACCCAGCCTCCCCACTCTAACTAGTGATGTTGACAATAATGCCACAAACTACCAAAGTTCCCTTTCCCTCAAAGTGTGAGAGGAGGAAAGGACCGAGGGGGCCCTAGAGTTTTTGTGTACTGGAGAGCTGAGGAGGACAGAGTCTAGCTATTAGGTTTTTCTAGGGTAGAAACTTCGAGACAATGAAAGTATGTTTGGGGAGTGGGAGAGTCCCTAGTGTTGAACACCATTTGTCCCTTGAATCAGCTCCTGGGTAACTCCAGCTCCCTCTGTCTCTGCCCAGGATTCAGCACACAATCCCTACCTAGGTCCGCTCCGGGCTCCTGAGCCAGTCTGCTCTTCAGCTTGGATTCATTTGAATTCCATCATCAAGGTTCAACACCTCACCTCTGGAGGCCCAAGCCCTATTTCCGCTCACAGAGGCCTGAAATGCAAAGGACTGAGCGCTTCCCCGCCTCCACGCCTCCAGCTCCCCTGTCCCGCACGTGGGTGCCCCCGCGGGGTGGAACAGTTGCGAAGGCTGTGCTTAATTGTATTTCTTCCAATCCTCAAGGAACTCGTGTTTTAAGGCTTTGTATATGAAGCAGGAAGCAGCGGGTCTGATTCTGAGGCTTAAGAGCCTGACAATATCTCTTTAAATAGAAGCTCCGCGAGGGGGATAATTGACTGAAGTGTTTGCGACGTGAAACAGCGGCGCGCGGGAGTCGGGAGCCCACATGAGCCGCAGGTCCAGGTTTAAATTACATCAAACTTTGGCTAGAGCTGCAAGGGGGCTATTAAACGGCTCCTTCTTCTTGCTGGGCAGTTAATGGAGCGGATGATGGATGCTGGAGGTCAAGACCCGGGACTCCTGCCTTGGCCCCACCTTGTGGGACGCAGGCCCGGCCCAGGTTTATTACTGGGCAGATGAGTGAGTCAGAGGCCCTTTCCCGGGTTGGTCTTTTGTCCTCTGCCCGCTCGCCCCCGCCATCCTGCCCTGTGCTGGCCTAGCCAGGCGGCGGGGTTGGGGGAACGGGGTCCGGCGGGGCGCTTGCGCTAGGACCCTGCCGGAGTGCTAGCGCGCTAGTCTTTGCGCCCGGCCCGCAGGGAGGCGGCAAGTGGGGCTCTTTTTTGAACCGCTAGGGTGGGACTTGACGCCTTTCACCTGCCTGCGGTGGGGCTCTTTCCAAGACGTCGATATATCTGTTCGCCTTTGCAGTACGGAAGGTTTCTCGCCAGTAACTCCCAGGGAACTGCCCAGAGAATGACCGTGCGAGATATTGGGCCTGGCGGTGAGGGGTGGGTGGTCAGGAGTGGGCCTCGTGCAGGTGTCAGGACACCTCCCCAGTCCTTGCACCCCGCTGACCCATCCGCTGTGCCAAGCAGGCCGGCGCACTGGAGGACGTGATCTCTGGTGCCCCCTGGTGGCAGCGCTGCGCTCTCCCCGCTGCGCCCCGGCTCGGAGCTCTGACACCTGCTTTTCTTTGGGATCACCGCTGTGTACTTCTCCCTCCGTGTACATTTACCGTGGAATCCTCTTCATCTTGTAGAATATTAAATCCGGATACTTGAAGTCACTTCACAGCAGTGAAGTGAAGGACAATGAACAAAAAACTCGCATTGAGAGTAGAAGGAACCCAGACCCTTCACTAAGGACCGCAAGTGAAATCTTCCAAGTTAAGGCTGCGTGTCCTGAGAGGTACTGCTCTCTTCCGAAAAGGTGGAGCCGCCAACCCTTCCCTTATGATTCTGAACCTTGGGACCTGCTGATTATGCAGTTGTTTTCTTCTGATATTTGCTTTCATTTCTGAAGTGTTCTGCCCTCTCCCTCCCCTCTTCTCCCAAAACAAATGTCTCTCCTCAGTCCCCCTGTCTGGGTGGTGGGTGCACAATACCAAGTGCCTGAAAAGCGTGAGGGAGAGGGTCTGGGGTGGGGTGGGGTGGGGACACTGGACACCCCAAGTGCAAACTGCTGCTTTCTGACCCTTGCTTGCTCATGTACTCGCTATTCAACTGTGTTTAATTGTAATGACATTGTTAGTGGTGTAGGAATCCAAGTGTTTTGGCTCAACAGCATGAAGTCTGGGTTGCACATTGTATAAGAGGTGCTGTAATCTTTCCAGTATCTCTGATACGTGGCTTTTTGGTTTATTGTCGCCCTGGGCCCTCTTTACTGGATAAACAACCATGAGGGCTCTTCTCTGTGGAGCTGTGGAGAGCTTGGTGGTAGAAAGTGATGTTCCTAAAAACTGCAGCAGCTCTTTCCTGTCTGAACTGAATCGTGTGTCTAACTGCCTTGCTGTCCTGACAGACTCCTTCCCAGGTCCGGTTCCATGCAGACCTTCCATGCTTCACATTTTGCTGCCCTGAACTTGCTCCTTTGTCAGTCCCAGGGTGTTGAGGCTGGGTCCTTTCTAGCAATCTCTACCTTCAGAAGAGACTTTTCTAAATCTTTTGCTTTTCCAATTCTTGTTGCTTTTGTCATTGTGAAGAGTCACCCAGGACACTGGCGCTCGGTACCCTGAGGTCAGAACCAGTCTGTGTGTGAGCTGTGGGACATAACGCACACCCTTTCAGAGTGATATTGTGTGGTGGAAGGTTAGTTCTGTTAGAGCTCAAAGAATAGTTAATAAATCCAGTATTATTCCATTGCGAGAACTGGCCTCTTTGCCTTATCAAGTACTCCTGACCCTCCAAAGGGCTCCCTTTGGAGAGATGGACAGAGCCCTTGCCTCCTGTGGAGGCTCCTGCCTTAGTGAGCGTCTGCCCTCCCGTCCCACTGTGCTGGCTCCGGAAGGTAAGTCACAGGTCAGCACCTCAGCCGTGCTGAGCTGGCAGCTGGGCAGCACCAGGGCACCTGTCAGGGTATGAATGCACTGGGGAGTGAAGGAAAGGCTGTGTGGTTGCTCCTGGCTTGCTCCTGAACCCTGGGCAGTGAGATCTCAGGAAGGAAATGTGGGAATCCGTGTGGGAACTGGAAGTTGCAAGATAATTTCATCCACCTCCCCACCCTTAGGACGAGAGCCCAGGCCGCCTGGTTTCCAGGCACTGCTCTGTTCTTTCTCAACTCTGTGCCATCTCCCTCAGTCCTGAGGAGTGAAACAGGGATGGCTCTCACCGGAAGCAGTTTCAGACCACTTCCTATGGACGGCTTGAGGTCCAGCGTGGTGGTGAGAAGTGCGCAGAGGATGGGAAAAGCTGACACGCGGGGTGCTCAGCAGCCACTGTGGCCACCCCCAGCAGACACAGTGCAGGGCCCTGGCTTTTCCCGGGGGCTCTTCTCCCCTGGGAAGAAGCCCCATCTACTTTTCATCTTCTTCATTCCCAAGGGTCTTTGACTTCCTGTTTCCCTTCCTCTCTGCCCTCCTTTTGGGCCCACAGGCCACCAGGGAAGAGTTGGGTGTTCTGCGGCCAAGTTGGGTGTTCTGCGGGGTGGCCGCTGGAGAGCTCACATGGGGAGGAAGGGGGGCTACACAAGACTCGCCCACCCCAGGCGCCTCCTCTCCAAGATGGCCAGGCTCTACTCCCAGAGACACAGGACGCTCAGTGGCTTTGAACACTCAAGTTAATTTAAAACAGGCACAAGTGCAACAATTCACAAAAATTTCTAGGGAAGATGCTTTTGTTTTGAAAACTGACCCTTAAAAAAAAGTCCTTGCAATTTCTTTGCCCCCAGGAAGGTCACTAGGGAGCAGAAGAATCTAAAAATATTATCTAGATAGAAAGGGTCCAGACACCTGAAGTTCTTTCCCAGAATTTCCATCTCACAGCAGCCCTGAAGTTGGAGGCGGAGGAGGACAAGGAGACAGCTGTCTGTGGAGGCATCCGGGGCAGATGGTTTGCACAAATGGGTGCTCGTGACCTTGAGATGATGGAAACCCAGAGGTGGTTCAGCTTCTCTCCCAGACAGGGCTCTGAAGAGAACAATGGTTCCCTGATGACCTTGTGATTGAGTTAAACTTGAAAGGTAAAACAGTTACCATTCCCTACATTCCTGTCTCTGGTCCTCACACTTCACAGTCCGGGAGAAGCTCAGAAACGTCCCAAGCCCCCAGGATACATTGGACTCCGTTTGGACCATGCCACTGGTCAGGTTGACACAGGACTGGAGAGGTGGAAGCCAGGCCAAGAAAGCAGCCCCCTTCAGGCCAGAACTTAGTGGGAGAGAGGATGGGGCAGCCTTCCTGGAGCTGGCTGTGGGTGACCTGAAGGGACCTGGGCTGTCAGACACACACACACACGTTCTCTCCATCCTGTAAAGTGAGAGCACCTTCACCACTGACCCCATTCTTTCACTCAGAAATTGCCCCCTCACTCCTCACCCCCAGCCATGGCCTGGAGCAGGCAGTGCATATGGGACTGCGCCTTCAGGACATCAGACACAAGGGAGGAAGCAGGGTTCAGGTCCTGAAAACCATTGCTGTGGCCCCCTTGAGACCCGAGGTTTGAAGCTGGAGCTGAGAACAGCAAGTATCTGTGTGGAGACCAGCAGTCCAGCCTCCGCAGTGGCCTAGGACGCTAGTGTACAACTACCTTTAAAAAACCACAGCAGCCTTTTCTGCTGTGTGGGCTGCAGGGGCCAGGAATGCTGGCCTCTGCATTTCTTAGAAATATCCCTGTGCAAATACCAAGGGGTCATCCTGTGGAAAGGGTCTCCACCTGGGGATTTGGGAGGGAGAGACACTGAGGGGGCAGGTCCGGCCTGGCCCAGTAGGCTGAGGAGCAGAGGGTGGGGCTGGGGCTTCACATTTCAATCTTTGGAGAGAATACTGAGAAAACGAGGCAGGCAAGCCCTGCTGGCAGGCTGGCTGCCCAGTGTGCCCTGCCTGTGGGCACAGGTGGCAGGCATACTCAGGGTGGGCTCAGCAGGTGGAGGTCTGCTTGCGGTAGAGCTGGATCAGGGGCACCAGGCACTCGGGCAGCCCTGTCTGCAGCAGGAAGGGGTGGTCTAGGAGCTCCTGGGCTGTGGCTCTCTCTTGGGGGTCCCGCACCAGCATCCGCTCCAGGAAGTCTCGAAGCATGGGGGAGACCTGTGGAGATAGGGCAGTGAGATGGAGCCACAAAGTGCAGTCACTTTGGGATGACTTGATTGCCTGGCCCTGTCATTGATTCAAAGTCTTGAATTCTGGTGTTTTTTTTTTTTTTTTTTTTTACTTCTGTCCCCTTGCCCCTCCCCAACCCCCAAGGCTCTCAGCATTCAGATGCTGTAGCTCTGTCTAGAAGGGGCAGAGAATTCACATCAGTGATCCAGGCCTGACTCTATCCCTGATCTCAGGCAAGTCACAGTTTTCTCTAGGCCTCAGTTTTATCAACTGTAAAATGGGCTAGTGATAAACTATGCCCTGTCTTCCACATAGGGGTTTAAAGAAGATTTTAAAAACAGCTCAAGGATGAGGAAGGAAGTGTTCCTCTAGGCCTTAAAGTCTAAGGCAAGGGCTTATCTTGGTTCATTTTGAGCCAGTATCTTGGGATGAGGCTCATCCTCTGGGAAATTAGCCAACTGGGGATCTCTGTATGTTCATTTTGGGGTTAGTGGTGCAGGCTTCAAGGACCAGTTGTCTTGGAAGATGTTTCCCATCCAGCTGTGTGTTGGGGCCACAGAACCTTAATTTTTTTTTTTTTTTTTTTTTGCTATTTAGAGGTGAGGCTTCAACCCTCTGAGATATTTCTTGCTTTGGTCACCAGATGGCAGTGCCACCTAGCAGCCCTGTGCTGACCGGCCAGCAGGGGGCATCCACAGTAAGGCCTGCGAGGTTGGGGGTATTTGGCAAAAAGCGTTACATGTATAAATATCCATGTATGAGTATACTGACTTTAAGGGGAACGCTGTGGCTCAGCTGTGTCGGCGTATGCAGCGATGGAGCATGAGCTGACTTGCCGTGATGGACAGGGACGTCGCATCATGGTATGGATCTCCCAACACATGGGGTGGAGGGATTTGTGCTCAGTGAAGCTTCTCCGGATTCCTTCCGGATTCCTCCCGGGACAGCAGGGATTGCTGGTGTCCTGCTTTCCCTGCTCATGGGCATCCCTGGGCTTCCGACCAGTGCCTGCGGAGCAGCGACCCTCCTGCCGTAGCCATGGGAGGAGACTTGCTAGAGCGCATAGGCGAGTTTGTGCGGAGATGCTGCTCCACACCCAGGTGCGGGTTTTGTGTGGAGAAAGAGGAGCCTTTTCCAGGAGCCCAGACCCTGTGGCTTCTGTGGAAGGGAGAGGCTGGGAGTCCAGGCTTTGGTCCTCTCGCCTCAGGAGGAATGGGGTCTGTGAGGTCACACCCTTGTGCACCAACTGACCTTGTGAGAGTTCTTCAGCTTGGGTGGGGGGCAGTCCCGGAGCCTCTTCATGGCTTGCACTGGGGAGTCGCTGAAGTAGGGTGGCTCCCCATCCACCATCTCAATCACCATGATGCCCAGAGACCAGATATCCACCTGCAGGAAGAAAATGTCCCTGACCCCATGGCCAGAGCCTGGTCCCTTGGTGGCTATGTGCTGGAGGCAGCAGAGGGGAGGATGGGGGACAGCTGGCCCCAGTTCTCCTCAGTGAGTCTGACTCTCTCCTCCCCTAGTCACCTGCCCTGTGGCCAGTTCCTGCCTGCATGAGTGACCACTGCCTATAGGGGTACAGCTGTCAGTCACTCCTATCATCCATGGGAGGCCTGGCCATGTGCCATTGTGCCCTTGAGCTGAGGAAGCACTTGCAGGACTCATTCCTGGCAGCACAGTCATGGGTGAGAGCAGCCCCACTGCAGGGGAAAGGCTATTGACCTGGTGGGACTCTGAGGACCAGGGCTGCTTTTGGCGAGGTCACTGGAGGGGCCACAGTGGAAGAGCTGCCAGTGCTTTTGGGAGGCCGGGGGTGGGGGAGCGGAGGGAACCAGTTACCTCAGTGGCATACAAAGACCTGGAGATCACTTCAGGAGCCATCCAGTAAGGGGTTCCCACCAGGGACTTCCTCTTAGGGACGTCTTTGCTGATCTGAGCGCAGAATCCGAAGTCCGAGAGCTTCACCTGGGGTTAGAAGGGGAGTGAGTGGTGACCAGGAGGAGGGAAGTGGTGGCGTGGCTATGCCGGGGACAGGATGGGACCTACCCTGCCATCAAGGGTCAGCAGGATGGAGTCGCTCTTGATGTCCCGGTGGATGACGCCCTGGGCATGGAGGTAGGCCAGGGCCTGCAGCACAGCCTCACACACAGTGGCAATCTGCTCTTCATTCAGCCTGGACAAAAAGTTGGGGCCGCCCGGGGGAAAAAGATTGTTAGCTCTGGCAGGTCATGGGGTGGCTGGGCACAGTAGGAGTCCCTGGTGCTGGGCCCCACGGCTCCCAGGCAGTCTGTTTGGTAGCATAGTCAGGCCATAGCCCTGGTGAAAACCGGGGCCTGAGCCTTGGCTGGAAGCCACCCTTCTCTTTTCCATTGCCAAGATTCCTGGGTCTCAGTTACCTCAATAGGCAGGGGAGCCCAGGATGAC